CTCTGGGCTGATCTAAGTCAGGGCATGGCTAACTCACAGATAGAACCCTGAAACAACCTCTGGGCTGATCTAAGTCAGGGCATGGCTAACTCACAGAGCGAGGGAGAGACCTAAACAAACTTGATCAAATGTGAAACCGAGTAACGGAATCGAACCTAAAACCACAGCTTAGCGCAGGGTTTTCAAAATATTAAAAAAACGTATTTATTGCACAATAAGTCTTTAATTTTAACTTTTATCCCAAATCATTTAGCGCAATATTAGTTTTAATTTAAAAGTTTTTTAGCTTATAAAATGTTTTAAATGAAGCGATTTTTACCCACCCATGCATTCATCCTACTATCCCTTCCACCTATTGATCCTATCTACCTATTTATCTATCCGACTAATCACCCAAACACCAATCTATCCTTCTGTCATGCACGCGCATGCAGATATCCATCCAATCAATTCTCGTAATTATGTATCCAAGTTCCCATTCATCCCGTCCCCACTCATCTATTTAATAATTCCTTACCTTTCTACAGCATGGATGGTCTAACCCTCAAACGCTTGGTCATTACCTCGACTAAAATAACTATAAAAGCCATCTGCAAACTATGGGGCAATGATCCGTCCGGGTTACGCCTTTCCTGGACTCTGTATAAACAAAACAACGAAAGTAAATGGGACACTTTAGACATCCAACAATATGTCCATTCTCCTACTAACAGGAAGAATCTGGTCATACTTGCGAATGTTTTAGATGGGTGCGCATCATACATGGCAAAGCTTAGAGCTCAGACAAAGAGTGGACCTATCGGATATACCTATATCATACTTAACACCCACTGCCCACCGCGATGGGGGAATTGCAGTGTGACACCAACACGAGGAACACCTGAGACAAACTTTACTTTCATCTGTGAGAACTGGAAAGATTCCCAGAACGAAAGCTATCTTCACTATAATTACTATTACAATGTCGCACCGTATAACCTGCCTGTGTTGTTCGCCAAAACTGGGAAAGAAACTACAGGGTTGAAACATCTTCCTGCGGGACTGCAGGCTTTTGATTATGAAGTCGAGGTGAGAATTGATATCATGGATAAAGAGGGAGCGGTTACGAGACAGAATCTTCGCGTGAAGGTACGTAGAGACAATTGAACTAGAGTGAATAGACCTCTTTACCTCTGACTTATGTTTTACCCATTTCAAACCACGCGTCATTCTCTTGAGAGTAAGATTCTTTGTTTGAGTCGTATCCATATTCATATGTCTTCTCACGTGCAACCATTAAACGAAGAAATGATATTCTAGGGAACGATACGTAATCTGAAATGGGAAAACATTACGCTCAAGGAGAACAGATCTATTATATAGGTTTCAGTGAAGGTTTGATCATATACTGTTATTTGTATCGATATGAAGAGAAAGAGAGAGAGGAATAAATGACGAGAAATAAGAAAAAAAGGAAGGAAGGAAGGAAGGAAGGATGGAAGGAAGGAAGAAAGCAAGGAAGGAAGCAAGCAAGCAAGGAAGGAAGGAAGAACGAATGGGCCATGGCTATGGACGACAGGACGCACGCATATGGATGGATGGATGGATG